CAGCCTGGCACGTCCTTCGTGCTCGGTGGCCTGTGTATCTACAGCTGACCGGCAACGTTGAAGCGGCCTTCTCGGGATACCGTGGTGCGTGTCGGGAAGGCGCGGTAAACGCGGGAGATGATCGTGGCCTCGATCATGCGTTGCAATGCGATCCCTCGGATTTGCGGCCGCAGTCGGCTGGGCTGCACTTCTCCACCGCAGGCTGGCAGCGGCGTCATAGATGCCGGATGCCTCACCCTCTTCGTCTGTTTCGACTGGTAGCAGCGCGCAGGGCTGCCCACCGCAGACGACGCGGAAGGGTGTGACGCCGCCAGCGTGGGTGCGGCTGTTGCCCGCAAGTATCGCGCGAGTCAGCGAAGAGTCCAAGTTGGCTGTGGTACTTTCGCGCTCGAGCTGCTCCTCTGCGGCTTGAAACGTCGTAATATGGTCCCACGTCGTTTGGTGAAACGCGCGTGCGGTCGCGGAGCTCTGATGTCCACCTGGACCTCTCGCCTCTTCGTCTCCTCCACAAGCTGCGTTGGGGTCATGCCGCCCTCGCCATCATGTCGCCGAACAGCTAAATTCCACGAGAGGTCGATGGCACCATGCAGCGTCGAGTCATGCTTTGAGTTGAAATCCTGGCCGTTGAGCCACCGCGCGGCGCAGCATATCAAATTCCTGAGCACGCGGTCCGTGTAGTGGAAGATTTCGCATTTGACGTGCTGGTTGAATCGCGTTGAGAAGCGGTGTGCTGGGATGGCTTGGCGCGCTGGTGGTAGCAATTTACGGCGTTCCCTACGCGTGCTGGCCACCGTGGCGATGAGATCGAGGATATATTGGGGACTGTTGGCCGCGCGTAGCGCTCGCGCCATCTCCTCCTTAGTGGCGCACCACCACCAGAGGTGCAACTGGCGCAGTTCTCGCGCGCGCGTCTCACGCGAGCCCCCGCGCAATGCTCGCAGTGGCGTGGCGACGTCGACTCGAATCCAATCGGAAGGGGTCGGGTTGCCGACCGCTGCGTTGGCAGCTCGTCGCGCCGTCCGTCTCGGCTCTGTTCCTGTCGCCGGGCTGGCTCGCAGTCCCGGTCTGGCAGCGCAGTCGCCACGAACAGAACTC